GTTATAACCCCCCTATCCCCCGTGTAAATTACGTGGGTGAGTGTTCTGTATGTGATGTTCTGAGCTGCCAACTAAAGGACCAAGTATAGACGTCAGATATTTAGAAACATTGTAAGTGACAGAGTTGATCATGCTAACAATGGGTCTTACCGGTACATCCTGTTTGTATGGTTTACCCAAAATTCACAGACTAGGAGTGGCCTCACCTGGGTAAAGTCTATGATACAGAATCCGATTAATAGCCTTGTCCTGCTCTAAACTTTTCAGGCAATCTATTAGTTTCTTCTTGTAACCACTTCCTGAATCTCTCTTCAGCGGCTCGTATGTGGTCGTATCGCTAAAGAGTGTCATGATCTTATCTTCAGAGTCCTTCTGGTTCAGAATAACTGTGCACCTTCCTTTGTCTGCTGGAAGACCTATACAATTTTTTCTTTTTGATTTTTTACCTGGATTACTGAGACGCATCAGGACACTTTGCCCACACTTCTTTGCAAAAACACTCAGAATCTGTCAGAGTGTGGAGAGAGATCTCTTGTACACAGCCTTCCTCAGATCATCCCAGAGATGATCTACAGGATTCAGGTCTGGACCTTGGCTGGGCTGTCCCAAAGCTTTAATCTTGTTGTGAAGCCATCCTTTTGTTGATCTGGATGTGTGCTTTGGGTCGTTGTTGTTCTGAAAAACAAAGTTTCTCTTTATCTTCAGCTTTCTAGCAGAAGTCTGAAGGTTTTATGCCAAGGTTAATTGGTATTTGGAACTGTTCTTAATTATTTCCATCTTGAAAAAGGCCTCAGTCCCAGTTAAAGAAAATCACCCCCAAAGCATGAAGCTGCCTCCACCGTGCTTCACTGTGGGCATGATGTTCTTGTGATGTGCAGTGTTGGGTTTGCACCAAACGACTCATGGAGTTATGGACAAAATTTTTTTTTATTTTTTTAGTTTAAACTTTATTCATTCCATAATAAATAAATAAATTCTATGTACAATAAAAAAACAATATATAAATGAAATGAAAGGCGGCAGAGAGGAGAAAAAATATTACATCTGCCCCTTTTTTTCACTTATAAATTCAAACTATAATAATCTTCAGTTAATAACACAAAACATCAAATCTTTCTAGAACAAATTGAATGGCTACATATTAAACCATTTCATATTTTTTAACAATCTAGTCTTTATCGTTCTCTTGAACATATATATTAATGTAACATTTTTAACATCATCTTCCAAATAATTCCACAATCTGACTCCTTGGATTGAGGTGCATCGTTCTTTCAAACATGTTCAAAATTTAAGTTTCATGAACATCTCTATTCCCTTTCTAACAGCTCTCTCTCTTCGCAAAGTTTATCTGAATGTTTAAAGGTAATGTGTTTCAATGTGCTTTATAAATAACTAACAAAATGTTATAATCAGCCAAATCATAGAATTTCAATAATTTCAGTTTACAAAATAATATATTAGATAGATAATGGTAATGTTTCGAGTGATAACACCTATAGCCCTTTTCTGCTAAATAAAAACAGGATTTGTAATAGTCTTATACCTCAACACAACTTCACCAGACCATGACACATTTTTCTACATTGGGAGACTTCAAATGTGTTTTTGCTAAATTTTATTTGATTGTTGTTTAGTTTTGTCATTGATGTTTCTGTTTTTTCTTTGTTTAAAAATGCTTCCTTCATACAACCCTACCCTACAGCCCAGACATATGAAGAATATGTGAGATTGTTGTACTGTGTAATACAGACAGTACTTCCTGTAGCTACTTTAATGTTGCTGCAGGCCTCTTAGCTACCCTGACCAATTTCTTGTCTTTTCATCAACTGTTAGTTAATCTGAACATACCCAGTTATAAGATGGTGTGCACACTTACGCAACCACATTATTTAAGTTTTTGATTTTTATTTTACCCCCGTAAAAGAATTACCTCTTTGTATTCTGCTGTACAGGTTATAGCTCATATAAAAGGTAGAGTAGAGTCCTGATCCAGTGTGTGGATGGTTTGGTTAGCACAGGAACACTTATCTTTTGACCAAAAACAGAAGAGCAGTAATGTTTTTATTGTACCTGTGTCTGTCATGTTAGCAAAATATTCCCTGAACCACTGAACTGATTTTAATGAGTCTGCATCAGGTTAGCTTTGTGTGCAATTTTTAGTTTAGTTGCAGCTTTTTAATGAACTTTAGTAGAAAGTTGTGACTAACTGTTGGGTATCGTTGTGCTCTCACTGTGTGGTGGCAGATATCCCAGCATGCACCTTGGAGAGCCTGCAGCAGTCTAAAGTGTACCAGAAAGAGCAGAGACGTCAGTTTAAGGAGCTGAAGGAGCTGGTGAGGAGACACCAGAAGAAAACCTCCGAGCTTCTCCGAGACTTCAGCAACAAGTCCAAGAAGACGGCCAGGCAGTGCAGCAAGAGCAGGTTCTTCTCTCCTCCTCCCGCTGCAACACGTCGTCTTCACTTTACAGTGTCTCAAATAATGTTTCATTTGAGCCTGTTTGTGTTTGTCAGGAGTTCAGGTTCAGACGGTGAGAAAGATGAGCGTCTGCAGCAGCTGAAGGACGAGCAGCAGCAGCAGCTCCTGACTCTGAGGCAGGAACAGTACTACAGTCAGAAATACCTGCAGAGAGAGCACATTAAGATGGTGAGTCAGCGTTTATTTACATCAGACTCTGTACACCAGGGGTCACCAACACAGTGCCCACTTTCTGAGTCGCCTGCAGGATACATTCCAAAAATTACACTGATCGACTGACTGTCATAGAAGCAGCACACTAAATGTTAAACAATGGAACCAAAAGTCAACCGTGTGCTCTTTGGAGCTTTTATAAACAAAACACTTTCTAAAGAATGTCAACAAGAGCTGCTGTTAAATTCACATCTCCCGTTAAACCCCATTAAACACAACAAACTCTCAACAAGTTCTCTCCTGCATCTCCCTGCAAGCGACTCCCTCTGCCCAGTGTTGCCAACTCCTCAACAAGAAAAGTCCCTATTGGCTGTTCTAAAAGTTGCTAGATGACATCATTACTTAATTTACATAGTTGGATGTTTGCCAATAATTATGATCTGCGCCATAGGAGAGATGATGAAGAGAAAAAAGTGAATAAAAACACTAAATATGTTTAGAAATGCAATTAAACTTAATGAAATAAAAATAATTTTATGACTTCAATGCTTATATCCATATAAATTAAATTTGTGTGAATCTTAAATTTAACCTGCAGACTGTTAGATGTCACGAGGCACAGGGAGGAAGAGGTGAAGAAGTGACTGATCTGTGAGTCAAACACAGCTGGGTCCAGAGATTTAGTTTACAGAGACAGTACCAGAGAAAAAACATTACATTAAATACTACATCCGGCTTTGTAAACCAGACAGAAGCAGTGACAGCTTTGCACATGCGTGATTCATTTGCAGCGGTCTCTCCTCTCAGCTGACATCAGCCGAGGCTGGGGGTATGGCTGGGGGGTGCCGCAGGCTTCAGTGAGTCGGACGGCTTTAGGAAGGGGGAGGGGCTCACCTCCGCGCTTACTGCTTGCGGAGGAACAGAGGAGGAAAGGAAAAAAGTGCTTGGAAAATGCTGTTGCCAAAGCTCCTAAAAGTCTCTAAAAACACCGGGACTAGATTTGTCGGACAAACCTGGCTACTTTTTCCCACAAAAAAGTTGCTAAACGGGTCTAAAAAGTCGCTAGATCTACTGACAAAGTCGCTAAGTTGGCAACACTACCTCTGCCTAGTGCAGCTGCACACAGTCACACACTGAACTCCACCCCCAACCCCCACCCTTCAGGAAATTAACCCTTAGAGCACAGATATTCAGTTTGTTTACCTCTGAGTAGAGGGGGAAAGTATGGAGCTCGCGAGAGGACCGGGGATATTTTATTTTCTTTTGCGCAACATCAAAGTCAATTTTACAAACTTGTGGCGACACATCCTGTTTTGGTAACTGGGTATTTCAAAAATAAAAGTCTGATTTAATTCAATTCATATACAAAACAAACTTTTGCGTGGGAATGCAAAACAATTTTGCGAGGGAATGCAAATGTTTGCAAGGTAACGCAAAAGTATTGCGAGGCAAAGCAAATATATTCGAGGTAAAGCAAATATATTGCAAGGTAAAGCAAAAGTATTGCAAGGTAAAGCAAAAGTATTGCGAGGTAACGCAAAAGTATTGCGTGGGAACGCAAAAGAAAATTATCCCCCCATGTCCCCTCGTAGGCTCCATAGAAGAGCATTAAAACGTAGGAAAACAAATTATTTTCACAATGATTGGGAGAAACTTTTTCTGTACTTGTTTTTATATTACATAACTGATATTTTGTATCTTCAAGAATTAGTAGGAATGATGAGCACAGAGGGCATGAATTAGTTTTTTTTTTACTGGTAAATGTTTCTTTTAAAGAATGGAGAAGTTACCATTTTCTTAAAGAAACAGACTACACCTGTTTTTTTAAACAGCTGTATTTTAAATAAAGGTTACAAATGTGTTCATTCCTACAAGCTGTCAAATATTTTTATTGTTTTATTTTTTACATTTACAAAATGCACAAAATTATAAATGTTATTAATTGAGATTAAATAAAAATGTTTTATGTTTAAATATGTGTTTTCTGCTATAAAAAAAATCTATTCATTCTGTCCTCCTTGTTCCTAATCAGGGTCAGGGTGGGAGCTGGAGCCTTTCTCAGATCTCAGACCATCACAYGYWCACAGACAGAAACACAAACAACTATCCACACTCCTGTCACACTGAAGAGCTCCAAAAGAGTTTCAAACTGGGAACTCTAGAATCAGATCCCCCGGTCCTGCACAGTGTTTAAATTACTTATTACTATTAATAATAATTTATCATATCTACCACAGTAAATTATGATTATCATGAGGAGTCTTGAGATTTTATCAGGGAGTCAAATGTATAAACATGTATAAATTTATTATAAATAATACTATAATTAAAGGTGAGCCATGCAAATTTATGTTTGTATCAAGGAGCCCTTCATGTTACTCAGTACCCCCGAAGTATCTCCTAGTCTCAAAAAGTGTGGTGACCCCTGCTCTACACGTTCAGGAGTGAGTGTGAACATGGACAAACCATCTGTTATTAGTGATGAGAGTCAGAATGCTCACGATTTCACTTCATTACAATAAAATGCCTTCAGTGCTTTTATAAACCGTTATTGATGCATCTCACTTCAAAATAAAGTCAGAGCTCAGGAATCTTTCACAATAAAGGTAGTCATAGGTTTTATAATTCAGGTGGTAACTTTAGCTGTGCTCAGTAGATGCTCCTATGTTAGCAGTGACAGCTGTCATCTGATGATTTCTTAACATTATCTGCATAATGTACCTGGTACACACCTGGTACACATCTGGTCTTTATGGATAATTTACCTGATACACACCTGGTACACATCTGGTACTTATTGATAAAGTACCTAGTACACGCCTGGTATTTATGGATAATGTACCCAGTACAAACCTGGTACACATCTAGTAATTATGAATAATGTACCTGATACACACCTGGTAAACATCTGGTAATTATTGATAATGTACCTGGTACACACCTGGTACTTATGGATAATTTACCTGATACACACCTGGTACTTATGGATAATGTACCTGGTACACACTGGGTACACATCTGGTAATTATGGATAATGTACCAGATACACACCTGGTACACATCTGGTAATTATGGATAATGTACCAGATACACACCTGGTACACATCTGGTAATTATGGATAATGTACCTGATACACACCTGGCACACACCTGGTATTTATAGATAATGTACCTGATACACACCTGGCACACACCTGGTATTTATGGATAATGTACCTGGTACACACTGGGTACACATCTGGTAATTATGGATAATGTACCTGATACACACCTGGTACTTATGGATAATTTACCTGATACACACCTTGCACACACCTGGTACTTATGGATAATGTACCTGGTACACACTGGGTACACATCTGGTAATTATGGATAATGTACCTGATACACACCTGGTACTTATGGATAATTTACCTGATACACACCTGGCACACACCTGGTATTTATGGATAATGTACCTGATACACACCTGGCACACACCTGGTATTTATGGATAATGTAC